GTAACTGAAATATGACACATGGAGTGTACAAGAACACGGACCAGGAGAGCAAAATGTCAGCATGAGAACGCAGGATTATACAAACAACTGCAATAACCAGTCTGGCTGTTAATGAACTTATGCAACAAGCAGAGGCAATTGTCTATTTAAATGGACAGTCACTACATTGAGGCTGAGGATTTTTAGCATGCACATAATATGGTAGATGGATTCTATTGTATATTCTTAAGGACATGTTATTTCCATTTTTTTTTTAGAGAATTCATTCAATTGTTTTCAGGAATTTCTAGATACTGTAAGCTGCTAACAAGACATCAGCAGTTACTACTCTACCATGGCAGAGCTTGAAAACAGTCCTCTGTCTCTCTCATTCTCTGGAAGTGGATTTTTGTCTGTGTATCAGATTGGAGCTGTGAAAGCTCTTCTGGACCTGGCCCCTGATGTACTGAAGAATGCTCCTAGGGTGTACGGAGCCTCAGCGGGATCTCTGATTGCAGCTGCGGTGGTCTTCAACACGAACCTCGGTATGGAATGTTTACATATTGTAGCATGTTGTGAACTTCAAATCTAATGTATATGGGGGGGGGATTTATGAATGTGTTTGCGACAAAATCTTTACAATAGTGTGGCCATACACTTTACTACCATCGCAAGACCTTAGTCTTGCGATGGTTGTAAAGTAATTAAAAAAACGTAAGATCTGCCCATCTTGGACAGGCGGATCGTACTCTCGATCATCGCAAGCCCGCCCCCCTGAGGGGCGGGCTTTCCGATGACTGCAATGCTGAACGGGCAGTGTGCGCGTGCGCACACCGGCCAGTTCGGCATTTGTCTCCCGAGCACCGTTCAAACCAGCCGAAAATCGTACGATTTTCGGCTGGTTTTCTAGCGTGCTCCTTAGACAAAAGGCGTGCGACCGTACAGTAGAAACGTTCGCACGTCTTCGTTCACACTGCTCGATTCTTGTACGATCGTGGGATTTCCCGCGATTCTTGTACGAGAATCGAGCAGTTTATGGGCACCTTTACAAAGACCAAAATCTCATGCTAACTAAACGCAAAGTTTTATCTCTGTTATGCGTCTTTAAGTGTTTTTGTGACATATTAATGTTTGCGACTCACTGCGACATTTCTCAGCTGTCCAGCATTTGCGGCTTTAAAAGTCCTGCAAATTGTCGCACATTCTAGAAGTGCTCCTGAGCACTTCTTAAGGCCCCATTCACACCGCATGTTTTCGGACATGGTTCATGGAACGCGAAAGTGTGAATGGGGACTAAAGTAGCACAAAGATAATTCAACTTCATACCCTCAAGTCAGCTGAGTACTTCAGGGCACTTCAGCTGTCATCCAGGAAGTGATCATTCTCCTTATGAAGGCATTTAAGAATGAAACAAACTAGGACGATAAATCTGTCACTATATGCACAAGAGAAATCAGGTGTGCAACCTTTTTAAGGATGCTGCTGATGCGACACTATTGATACATTTTTACCCCCAGTGTTCTTTAGCATTAGCCCTGGTTCACATCTTTGTGATGATCACAGGCATTGATGTGCACTTTTTATGCGAGTTGCTTTAGGCTGCCCCTATTCATTTAAATGGGCTGTCCAACATAGAAAAATTGCACCAAAGAAGTCCACGTACGCATCACACCACACCACATAGTAATAATTTACCTTGCATTGTGGTGTGCTACAATGCAGGTGCTTTGGGATGCTGTTAGGAATGAATGGCACTGCATTGCACCTACAATAAAAACACAGGTTGCTGCAGGAATGCACAAGATTTTGCATGCATTGCCTCAGCGCACAGATGTGAAGCCTTAGTGTTTTATTTATATCATGTATTACACGTGCCCATCTAGCTAATATCAAGCAAAACAAATGGCAAATGCACTCATCAATTTGTAACCAGCTCTAGGCAAGGTGCATATGGAAGGGCTTTATACAGTACAACAGCAAAAAGTTTCAAAAGTTTCCCAGCACACTCACCAGGCAGCAGCAATAAAACTTGTCTCACCGCTAAAAACAGAGGTTTAGATACACGTCTTCGGCAGAAAATAAAAAAACCTCTGTTTTTAACCTTAGCGGTGAGACAAGTTTTTTTGCATGCTGGCTGGTGAGTGTGCTGGGAAACTTTTTGCTGTTGTACTGTATAAAGCCCTTCCATGTGCACCTTGCTTAGAGCTGGTTACAAATTGATGAGTGCGTTTGCCATTTGTTTTACTTGACTGATTTGGTGCAGTGACGCATGGGGGGGTCTCAGCTGCCGTTATGATGTGCGGGGTCCCTTGTGCGTCCCTGTGCCTTTTTTAAGGAGGTTGGGCTTCCTCCTGACAAACCTGCACCCAATTTATCTTTTGCCACATGTGCTCCAAGATGGAGACTCCCATAGTTTAGAGTTAGGACCGCACTATATAGAGGTGCCTTGGCGAGGCGGTGCGGCTTTCACATTTTCTGCAGAAAATGTGTATCTAAACCTCTGTTTTTAACCTTAGCGGTGAGACAAGTTGTTTTTGCATGCTAGCTGGTGAGTGTGCTGGGAAACATTTTGCTGTTGCATCTAGCTAATATAACGCAAGGACTGCAAATGCATACAGACTGTAAAAGGTAAATGTAACATGAGGACATTATGCTGGAGCCAACTTTTCTTTACGTTGGCTTCATACTTTCACGTTAAGGTAACATTAGGTTGTGGTACTATACCAAATGCATGCACACTTGTAGTAGCTGCCACCTGGACTACAGTGTGACACAACGTATGTACCATGTGTTGTGCTGTGTTCCTGAAAATGCTGCAGGTGTGGTTTATAGTGTGTGGAGGTGCGCTACCTGCTTAGTTGAAAATGAATGGAGTATATGTGGGTTAATGCACACATAAGTGTGAAGGGGCCCTAAGACTCCATTCACACTTGAGCACGAGCATTTTTAGACCATTTTGAAGGTTTCTTTGGGTATTTTTCAGGCGTTTTAAGGCTGCAGTATTTTTCTTTTAGCCAATGGAAAGCTGGTTAGTGGGAGAAGGTTGCTAGGTATGTTTTTTTTAGGCATTTCTCAGGCACTCCCATTGAAGCCTATGGGGTCAAGCCTGCACAATTCTGCCCGAGATACAAAAAAAAACTCAAGACACAGACAGGCACCACTGAAAGTAATATGACTCCTTATGTTGAGTGTTGTCGCGCTTTGGGGGAACGCACAACAAAGGCTCAGGGGTGAATGGGGACTTAATTGTTTACTTAAAAGGTATGCCCAGGTTTTCATGTGGGAGCACTTCTTGTATGTTTGTTTTTAAAGGGAAAGTATTGGTTTACTTGCAGCAAAATTAGTGAGTTTTGCTGCATGAGTGCGGACACATTAATATGCCCTAAAGGTAATAGTTAAAACCCTTGCAAAGCTTTTTCTTTTTTGGTTCAATTTTCTTTCCTGTCCTGTCTTGAAGAAGTAACATAAAGTGATAGGAAATCTCTCTACATTAAAGGAAATACTCTCTTAGTTCTAATTGAGACAAATGTCCTCATCAGAGGTTTTCTACCCTCTATTCCTGTTCTGGCGACAACTTTTAATTTGAGTTTTTTTGCTTCATTTTCAATCGCAGTGACAGTGGTCACCAAGACAAGTAGAGAAGGTGAAAATCCCCTTCAGAGACACTTGACAACATACTTTGCTATTCTTGTAGTTCATCAACTAGAACAGGGGTGGGCAAACTCTGGCCCTCCAGCTGTTGTGGAACTACAAATCCCATGAGGCATTGCAAGATTCTCCCATCCATGACTCCCAGAGACAAATGCATCATGGGAATTGTATTTTCACCACAGCTGGAGGGCTAGAGTTTGCAGACCTGGACTAGAGGGATCCTCTAGAAGAATGCCTGTGCGTTTTGTTGTGGGTTACCCGAAAGCCAATACCACTCAATATGAAGAATCCCAGTATTTTCAACGGTGCCCCTTCTCCTCTGAGCGTTGTAACTCGAAAAAATTGTGTGAGCTTTTTATGTGCAAAATTTAGCATTTTTGGCTACATAGACTTCTTTTGGAGCATTTGAAAAACCATCTCCTCCTCCTAGTAACTAGCTTTCTATTTGCTAAAATAAAAATGCTCAAGCCTGAAAACACCTGAAAAACACACAAAAAAGCTTCAAAATTGCCTGAAAACGCTCATGCTCAAGTGTGACATGCTCAATTATTTGAATCACAGACTCAAAACATATAATGTAGATTAGGAGATCTGCCATTGGTCACGTCAGTTTTCTCCAGACTCCCATCCTATTACCTTCTTCCATTGTCTTTAGGCTGGGCAGGTGATGGCCCAGCCTAAATTAGTTTAGTTTCGGATCCATTCGGATTTTTTCTAATTTTTGTAATACTCTGATCCGCCCATTATTCGTATTTGGAATAAATCTGAATTTTCGTTTCGGACATCCGGATGGGTTTTAAAAACAAAAACTCATTTCATTGACTTTATTAATAAAAAAAAAAACAGCATCAGCCCACCCACCCTCCAATGCATTCCAGGCCCCTATTGCAATTTGAAATAGCCAATAGCAAACTGTTTTGTTTTTTTTCTCACCCAGTGGCGGATGTAAATAAAGATTCAGTCGAGGCGGCAATGGATTTATGGATAGAGGAATTTATTTACTATTGAATGTTTATTTGGTGAATGAGTTGAGTAGTGGTACAATTTTCCCTTTACTCATTCACCTGGGGGGGGGGATCTAGGTGCCCCCTTTATCAAAGGGGGCACCCAGATTCCTATAAGCCCCCCTGCCTGCAGACCCCCACAACCATTGATTGTTGTGAAGAGGCCTTGTCCTCATTAACATGGAGACCCTACTCCATGTTGAGAACAAGTGGCCTGGTATGGTGCAGGGAGGGGAGGCGCATGCTCATTTCCCCCTTTTCCTGCTCTGTTGGGCTGCTGCCCGGATCAACAGTCTGGTATTGTATTTTAGGCTTTTTTGTTTGTTTGTTTTGGCGTGGAGGCCAGTGTTTTTTGTTTTTTAGCTGTGAGCAATAGCCCGAATGGCATTCGGATGCATCTGAGTTTTCGTTACCGCAAAATTCAGATTCATTTGCGTTCGGTAATTGTTTCATTCGGAAATTCGGATGCATTTGAATTTGCATTTGGCAAGAAATTAAATTTACATGCCTAGTCCTTATTAGGACAGAGTGGTGCTGAAACAATGACAGGAGTAGTAAAGAACAATCACTGTGTAGCACTGCAACTCAAGAAGCGGAGCTCGAGTATGTAATTAGCAAACATGGCTGTCCCCAAGTACACATAACTACAATCAATACATAGAAACAGTTTTGTTGTTTTCTTTTAAACGTTTTACATTCCCTTTAAGTACATGTGAACATGTTGTATGTATGTATGTATGTATGTATGTAGGTACATATATTTATTTGTGTGAGTAATATATATATA